TTCGATTATCATTCTAGGTAATTCTACCTATTTGCCGTTCAGATCCAAACCCTTCTAAAACAGACGTCAGCAGACTTCTAGTACTTCGTATACGTTTCGGTGTTGACACACAAGGTCACCGTCGTATTATTATCATGCACAATTTTCAGCTTGTGATTGTAGCCTAAATTTTCTTTATTTCTACTTCTTCCCGGCCCCCGACCGTCCTCTGAATCTGTCATTAAAAGTATTGGAATAAAATTGGACAGCTACTATAGGCGAGTCCTACCTATATAACAATTATCCATAACTAAGCAGGTGTATCTCCTAAAAAAGGGAAGAAGAAGGAAGTTATTCTGTTTCTGTCAACGTCGGTTTTCAGCCAACGGCGAACTCAGTTTTTAACTATTTTTATTTCTTAGATTTCAAGCTCAAGATTTCCGTTTAGGAATACATCATGTAAACCCTGAAGGCAATGGCAACATTCCATGAGGACACTGTTTTAAAAGGTTTTCGTGCGAGCACGAGGTCATAAATTGAAAGTTGTTTGCATTAACACTGGAGTAAAATATAATTCCAAAAATTAAGTCACTGGTCTTTCCCTTCAAGGAAGTCTAGTGGTGTTTTTACTTCATTTCGCGAAGAGATTCAGCGCTCAGCCGTGCTTCAAGAGCTTGCATTTCTTACATCGACGTGACATTCGCCCTTTTTTATGGTTGTTGTCGCTGTTTTTGATTGTATATATCTTCCACTGATGACGTCACACCATACCGAATACGGGAATTATCCATCGGTTTTACTGGCTCTGGACTCTAACACGGATGACTATAGGTGCGCTTACTAAGGAAGCTGATAATACTGAAATATTTCTAAAAGTTCATTTTGGTTTGTTGTTGTTTTTTCCTTCACCTAGCAGTCAATTATAGTGCCGCTACGAAACCTTGACCTTTTTTGAGTGATGACAGTGGTTGGGGAGAAAATAAACTACTTAACATTTTATTGATCACGCTAACTTGCCTGTCAGTGTACAAAGATTAAGAGAGTATAAACTCCCTTGAGCGTTTTAAAGAATCGACAAACAAACAAACGAAAACAAAAAAAAAAAAGATTAATAAATAAAAACGACTTGCCTCCCCGTGTATCCGAAAATCGAAAACCTAGAGTATTGAAAAACACAAGAACAAAACAAAACAACCAAAAGCTTTATTAACTCATCCTGTAAAAATGCCTTTTTTTTTCTTCTTTTTGTGTTTGGAGTTTTTAAAAACAATTTGAAAAGAACAAAACACACAAATTTCTCTATCAAGATTCAAGATAGACTTCCTCAGTTTTATATGAAAAGTTCAAGATTTCCATTTAGGGATACACAAAGTAAACAGACGACAATGGTAACTTTCCATGACGAGACCGTTTTTCAGAAAGGTTTTCATGCGAGCACAAGGTCATGAATTGAAAGTTGTTTGCTTTGAAACTGGCAATTAACAAATAATTCCAAAAATTAAGTCACGGGTCTTTCCCTTCACGGAAGTCTAGTGCTGTGTTTACTTCATTTCGCGAAGAGATTTAGCGCTCAGGCGTGCTTCTTGACCTTGCATGTCTCGTCCGTCGACGTGACATTCACCATATTTTTTAGCTGTTGTCGCTGTTTTTGTTATCTGCGGTAGGAGCATATATCAGTCTTGGACACTCCACTGATAAACAAAATAACAAACAAACAAACAAACAAACAAAAGATTACTATAAAGAAAAACGACTTGCCCTCCCGTGTGTTTGAAGTTTTTAAAACAAGAAGAAAAAAAACAAAGACATTAAAAGGTTGTGCATGGTCGGAGGCCACTTCAGTCATGCACGGATACTGTCAGACAGCTGAAACAAGACACACATTTCTCTATCATGATTCACGATACACTTCTTCAGTTTTATGTGAAGACAGCCGGATACAGTTAATCGATGGCCTGTCTTCGATGTGGGTCGCCTTGATCTCAGTGTTTAGAGTTGAACATCGATAACTAGAATTTGTAACCGAAGTCTGGGGTTTGTGTGTACTCATGTTTTTCTTGATAATATAATAAGAATGTTCAAAAAGGAAATTACGGAAGTAATTAGGGTTACTTAAAGGAAACTTGTGGTTAAGGAACAAACTAGACATGTTTTGCCCATTCCGGCACTGTAACTGAATTATTAACTAATGAAATGATTTCTATTCATGAGGCCCGCAAGTTCAATTCAAATTGTAAATTGAATAATACTCATCCTTCTATACAAGTCTTCAAAGCCACGATTAAGGCACTTTATCACCTATAAAAGGCAATAGCGAACAGGCGGAACAAACCAACCACACATTTAGCGTACATCGAAATTTGTTTGGATACTTTGTGTTTTGTAGTGTTTTTTTAAGTTATTTGTTAACTTCTTGTCTTGTTTTGCATTCACTATTTAAGTGTAAAAAAAAAATCAATAAAAGCTATTAAAGTAACAGAAATTTGAATTATACCGTAACTTTGCCAATTATGTGATTTTATTTTCACGTTCTTTTATTTGTATCATTTGCTAGATACTATTGCACGAATCAAGACTTATTCGTATCATTTGCTAGATACTATCGCACGAATCAAAATTTATTGGCATCAGAATGATAAAAAAGCTGAGTTCAAGAAACAATTACGAGATTGTATAACTATGTTAACCATGAATAAAGGCAAAAACATCGTAGAAAATCAATGGCTGGCCTAGCCAGCCACCGAGAACTAAGGCTCACTTGACAAACTTTTATCTCGGAATTAAAACTAAACAAGTTAAAACCAAGGTTATAAACGTTCAGTGACCTGATGTCTAGCATGTTCCATTTCTTCCTTCTTAATTTCCACTCGCTTCCACCATCTGAGCCCCTGGAACAAGCTAGATGTCTAAAACGGTCTGGATCTGAGTTAATTAAAGGAAACAGTTGAAGAAAAAGCAGCAAACGGAGACTTACAGCCAAGGGAAAAACGAGAGAAGAGAAATCAAAAAGAAAAAATTGTGCGAATTTTTATATATCGCGAGGTTTACGCGGTGACTGACTGACCCCCTTAAATTCTCTGGTGCTAGTGGCGTGGCAGGCTTTTTTTTTTCTCTAATTAAAAAAAAAATGTTTTTTTTTATCGTCCGAAGCAGCTGCATAGTTATAGCAGTGGTATTTATAGCGTTTGGGTTTTTGTTTACTGTCGTTGTTGTGGATAAGGTAGGGGATGAAACATGATCGGCCCGTCTTTCATCCAAGTTTCCAACCTGAAGGACGCCCAGGATCATGTGATACCAAGTTTTTTACGTTATGACTGAAAGATAAGATTCAGCACTTCAGCACAATGTTAATCTTTCTTAATACGGAAATAGCGTGATTATTTTAGTTTAAGAAGAGTTTCAATCAGCGCTTCGTAGCGCTTCATGACCTTCCATGGCCCTCATCGAATTGACTTTTTTTCTTTTGTGTAGAGTTAAATTGCAAAAGTTTTTTTTCTTAATATTTTTCCTCTTCTTCCTCTCTATTCGCTAGTGGCATAGTATCGTCACTGACGGCGTCATATCATGCTGATAAGGGGATTATTTAACGAACTGGATCATTTTCATTAGTACTTGTCTATAACCCCGATGAGGATAAGCCACAAATAAGCTTGCACCTCTCCAGATAACACAAGTTACGAGAGTTTTTCTTAAAAAAAAAAATTGTTTCCTTCATTGAGTGTTGTTAAAGGCCGGGCCTATGTAGCAACGAGACCTACTGAAAATGATTTCGTTTTCCATACCACTAAATGAAGAAGTGCAGATACTGACTTTTGTAGGAGGAGTATAAGATGGGGTGACGTTGACAACTAAACAACCATCCAAAATTTCAGTTTAACTCGACCCGAGTCTCGCTAGAAATAAACTGAATAGGACCCTCGTGGTGAATTCCTGTAAATTCAGGACAAAAAATAGAAAATAATTGAACCCGTTTGTCATTGGCCTAAGCAGAGCGCATTGAAAGACAACTTCACTGTGCATTTTTAGGTATACGTTTTTTAAGAGAGGGAGAGCTTGTCAAAGGTAATTTGACTTTGATGATCACTCTTTTGGCCTTGGTGTAAATTGAAAATTATGTCAAAGAAAATACGCGTCTCTGGGATTGCTTGTATTCACACGTTTCTCGTGATCATCAGAACAAACAAGAATAACAACAAGGAAGTTGTGGAATTACTTAAAACCAATCATCATCATGATGAGTGGTTTTATGCACACATACTTGTTGAACGCATTTTTAACAATCTGCATGTGAATTGGTTCTCAACTGAATTGATATAATAGGTTAATGAGGCATATAATCATTGACGATGCAATCAAAATCATCGAGTCATCGTTAGTAGAACTGAAATTCGAATTTTGAATTATTATAATTTTGTTTCTAACTATTTTAAGATTTATTTTTGTTTCTCTAGTAGCATTTGCTAGAACTTATCTTTCAAGAACTGAACGACATCTTATTAAGCACAGTCTAGAAAACTCCAAATCTTTTTACCGAAATGAAAGCAAGTCTTCGCAATTTTTCAAACCCAATTCAACAAAGTCATGCCAGAGTATACACGTACAGTTAGAAGCTACACAGTGGTTTTTCGTTCACTTTTTGTAACGTGACTAATAGTTTTTTAAGTTTTTAAAGAACAAATCATCCTCTACAACTGTTTATTTAGGTTACTGTTCTTCATCGATACGTGTTATTCAAGGCTTTGCGTGTTGCCGTCACTTTAATTTGATTACACAAATTTTCGGGTTGATCCATAACGTCGTCACTCATTCTCTATCGTCACGTTCCTTGTGACCTCGGACATCGCTCGGGTCGTCGGGGAACCAATGAGAATCCGGATAAAATTAGCCCTTAGCTAGTTTTACGTGGGTTGTGACGGAGAGCAAACAATGGCGAGACGGTCAAGTGTATAAATTGCTTTTCACCCGTGAATAGCTCACTCATTCTTACAGAGTTACAGTACAGTGCTTGGTCATTTCTCACAATGGGGAACATAGTAGACTCGGTCGAAACACAACCAGCAGAAGCAGAAGAAGGCATTAACGATTCAAACTCATCCGATTCCCTCCAGTACAGCGTGGATGAAACAGTTATTGATTTGGATGCCCCTGAGTACAAAGAGTATCTTAAACATAAACGAAAGATAAGCCGAAGCGAGGGAAACCTCCATGACATTTCCTATCTTGACTGGGTCAAAACAAACAACGTGAACCTGATATCAAGACGTCTCAAAGCCAGGTAAGGTTGCTCCTGAACGCAGTAAAGCATTTGTATTCCCGGGCGTATATCTTAAGTCAATTCGGTTTTGCAATGCAAAGATTAAGAGCTAAGATTTAGCTGTCCTCTACCTTTGCTATTGTAAATGAAATACAAGGCTTCAAATTGCAAATAATTCTGTTAAATTTTGTCTACCGATAGCAGTAGTGTTGTTTTATCAAAATCCAGTATTTGACTGCTGATAATTCACCACGGTTCATTAAGTACTGTACACTTATGAATGTGTCGGAAGCCCTGAGCATTCTTTGATTCCGTACAACACTTCTCTTGAACAAACAACAAATCTTGATTAATCAAATGAGCGAAAGTCGTTATAAATACGTGAACACGTTTGAAAATCTTAAGACCCAAACTTCCGTCTTTTGAAGAAAAGGGAGAGCTGAAATCATGACTGATATTACTGAACCAACGGTGACGGTGTTGAAGAAAGTAATATTTAATAGTCTTTTTAAATATCCCTCAAGAGTACTATTCTAGCTGTAACATTGGAGAGACAGGGGTGATCTTTGCAAATACTATGTCGTGAAATTCCTAAGATTGGGCATAATGCTTCCCTACCAACATTTGTGCAGTTCATACTTATGTAAACAAAGTGAATGTTCCAGAACCCATCCCAGTTCAAAGCAAATCATTTATGCGCGAAGAAAAAGCTCAGAAGAAAGTTCTGACATTGTGCTCATCAGCGCACACCTGTGTGGTCGAAAATACAAATAACCTTCCAATCGAGAATTCCAAATTTTAAGGCACACTCTTGATGTTTTTAAGGCAGGAAGCCGGGATATATGTAAGGTACTGACATATATCTTTTAACTATTGTTTGCTGACAATACACTATATCAAGGAATATGAATGCTTATTATCTAATGAGCTTCGCGTACCCGTCCCAGGTCAGTGATCAAAGAGCAATTTCTTGTTAAGTTTCTTGTAAGTTTCTTTTATTGTTAAGTAACAACAAAAAGGTGGTATATTTCTTGGCCGAATTTCAGTTAACCTTTTATTTTTCTGGCCGATCGAAATCTCTTTTGTCTGCAATCGAAGCTTGCACGCTTCAAATAAATTATTGAATTTTCTAGAAGAAACTTAGTGAAGTACGAAATCAAACTATTTGAAAAAGCAACAGGTGTCAGACTATTTTTAACCGAGTTAATTTAGTTCAGGAATGGCTTGGCCAATTTGGGAGATTGACATTTCAAAAGACTTTTTTGGGTAAACGAGGCCAGGATGTGGTTGTTTTGTGTATTGATTTCACGGCGTTATCAGACTACTTACTTGGCGGAAAACGTAGGTTATTGTTCTTCGACTAATTAAGCTTCCATTTTCGTTCAAGTACTGAACAATGAATAAAAGAGCTGTCACTGTTTGTTCAGTTTTACGATAGACTTTCCATTCAAACCTGCAATCGCAATATGAGCTGTCCGTCGCGGTCAAGTTCGTAACGACAGAACAGTGCTTTGACTTCAAAAAATATATAGACACTCGCGCTTAAAATTTTGTTTTTATGGTGATAATGACAGACAGCACGTTTCTTCTACGATCAGTCGACCCTAAATCCTTTGGGCAATAAACTGATGTAATCCGCGCATAGACTGTGAATAACTAAAGAGGTCCGAAAAGAAGAGAAATTTTTTGCTCATTAAAAAGTTTATAAATATCAAAACCTTCTGAGCCTTGGGCAGTGTAAGGACCGGACCACATTTAAGAGACTGAGTTAAAACGTGGGGACCTGATATTACAGACAACTCACAGAGTTCAATAGTTTTAACTTGTATTGTTTAAATCAACATGAAGCCAAAGCCATTACAAAATATTGTGACTGTGTTTTGTTTTGCATCCCGGTCTCTTGCAATATTTCATCGTAGCGCCAGTGCAATTAGTGGGTCATCTTTATTGTTTTGACCTTTCATAATATCGCATTTATCTTTGAGTAGCTCTTTATAGCTGATATTAGTCGGATTCTTTAAAACGCAAATATTAGAACAAAACGGGAGTCGTTGAAAAATATCAATGCATACTATACTTCCTACTTACTATCCGGAGTCCAAAATAGAAAGTCTTATTATTAGCAGGGGCTCTATTTGTTTCCCTAGAGCGATTTAAGTGCCTTCCTCGTGAAATCTTTGATTACCTCATTCTACCCACAAGTTCCCTCTTCTTCAAAGACCATTTGCCGTACAGGTTCTAATATCTTTTTATATCTTTTTATTAAACTATCATTGTTTGATAGTTCATATCTGCCTGTATCAGCACCAAAGTTTATAATGATTCAAGTTTACAAATAAGATAAAAAGACTATTTGGAAAAAAGGGACTCTAGTAGTATATTAAAGCCCTTTTAAGGAAACCCAATGTATAATGTACGCGTTGGTTTCAGGGCTTTCAAGGTTAATATTTTAGCTTCGATAAATGAAAACAGAACATGATGCCCTAAAATGGTAATACTGCACTACGGCTACTATTGATGGAAAGTGACACCCACCATCTGTTGTCAGTAAGTAAACGGCGAAGCGTTAATAATTACAGGAAAAAATTATTGTAACTGTTTATAATTTACCTAAGTGTTCTTTTTTTCTTTTGCAGCGATTTAGAGGTCAGCGACGATAAACTTGCCAGAAGGAGCTCAGCTCCGATAACAAAAAATGATTTTTTTGCCGTCAAGAAGAACAGTGAAGAGTGTGAAAAGCGAAAGTTGGGAAGCAAACAGCGAATAAGAGACATTAAGAACAAGTACAATCTAAAGAACAGAGACTACTCTGCCAGAACATATGTGTGGAATGAGGCAGATGAGAAAGACAATAGAAAAGAACGGGAAGAGAGAAAAAGACTTCGGAAACAAATTCGTCAAAAATACAATTTGCAGACTCCAAGCGTTCAGAGGCAGATTTCGGTGGCCAAAGGATGAACACTAGTGCGAGTTGTGAAGATTGTCAGCTTGCCTAAAGCAAATTGTGCAGTGGCATGGCCCGCACTAATGTGTGTTAAGGCACATAAAGATCCTCTCGTGGCGTTAAGTAGACACATATATTGGCATTCCAAGAATGGGACAGGCCGAAATAGCTAATAAAGGCCAATAAATTAAGACGCTGTCTCCAAAAATAATGTTGCAAATAGCTTCAGTTTCTGCACTGTTCAGAAAACTCGACTGAAACACGAAAAGTAAGAAAAACAATTATCAGACGATTTTATCCGCACCTCATTTTCAAGAGGTTAAGGATTGACAGTCTGGTATTAACAGTTTGACTTAAAGAATAAAAAGCAATAATTACAGTTTGCAGTTTTACTTTATTAGCAAAATTGATGTAAATGTATATTTATATTTGCCCGGGAGAAAAGAATATTTTTTAAGCTGAATGTAAATACTATCAAAAATTGTAATGATAAAGGGCTGTTTCTTTTCTAGTGGACCAATTAAAGTTACATTTATAATAACAGCGAGAGAGTGATTTTTAATTAGTTCTTTGGCTCAAGCAAGACAGAAAGCATTGTTTTTCAAAAGTACGCCTCCTTAACCCTTTTGCCCCAGTATTCAAAGTTGAAATTTTTCCAGACTGATTTCCTAACATTTCCTTAAAAAATTAAATAAGAGAATTTCAGGAAAAAAAAAATTGATGAAGCCGTTTTCTTTTGGTAAATATTGTGAAGAAAAGTATTGCCATTGGCCACTTTTAGAACTTTTTATGTATACGTTATGCCACAATAGACGCAAATCAGAATTCCCTAATTTTTCCAGCAATTTTTTTATCGACAAATATGACCCAAAATAACGCTTGTTATATTAAACCTTCCAGTTTAGGAACCACTATTATAGAGTGCTACCCAAATAAGAAAGAAAGATCAATATCTAAAATCAGTGTGATATTAAAACTTTTTTTCGCACTAAGTAGTAAAATATATGTTTAGATTGCGATCACATCGCAGTGAACTCAACTGATGGGAGCAAAGCAGTTATGAAAATACGGAAACGTTTCCTAATCAAGCTTTAATAATTAGGCCAAAAAATTTTTACAGTGAATTCCCAACGTTATTTTGGCCTAGGGCGATGCCAGAACTCACATTATGTCACGAAATTTTGGTCAAGTTTTTGTTTTGTCTTTCTTAGTATGGACCACCAAGAGACAGTATCCGACCATCAAATAAGTGTGGACAATAAGCCCACTTAAAAGTTACAATATAAAAGGACAAAAACAAACCAAAAATGGTATATTTGTAAACAGATTTATTTTCGCATTTTTAACAGCGACTAAACCAGTAACATAACTTTCTCAATATAACCCAAGAACATAATTAAGATATTTGATAGACAAGATATGTGTCCTTTGTTGTCAGGCTCTGACGAAGGCAGTGGTGGTCTTCATCAAGGGCCCGAGTTGAACAAGTCCTGCTGATGAAATGAATGAAATGACTGTAGAGAAGACGTCAACTTGTTAAATTAAAGATGCACGGCTTCTATTCAGTTTAACTGACTTGAACTGAATGAAGGAGCTGCGAGGCTAACAAGCCTAGCGTGGTCGTTTTATTATTAATTTTCTTATTCAGAGTTTATGCTAGACAACACTTTTCTAACATAATCACGGTAAAATGTATGAATTCGATCTTTTAAATAACATTTTTCTGTGAAAAAAAAATATTGGTAAAATGAAATAAAATAAAAAGAATTTCATCCGTCAAATAGCTGTTTCAATTAAAGCATAATTTATGTTTAGACTAACAATAATTAACCTAAAATGGTAAAGAATCAACAATTTGTTGAATTTCGCAAATTCCTCCTCCGGGAAAAAGGAGCAGTCTCCATTTTTTCTTGAAAAAGATTCGTTTTCAGTGAAACAAGCTTTCGCTCTCGTGCACAGAGTTAGCACTCAAATGTCTGTCCCCGGCGACAAAACACAAACGAAAGCCTCGGGGCGAGCACATACACGGGGTGACTGACTGTAATTATGCCTAAACGCGACATATTCAACGTTAACAATAACCATATATTCATTTACCACATGCAATGGACTTTTTTATGGAACGTTTAAAATACACGACATCGTTTACCCTTATTTAAGGGCCGTTTTAAAGTATGAAATAAGTTAAGTTCTTTTCCTCCTTTTTGAAATTTTGAATTATTGTTTCCACTTGTGCTTTTGGTTGACTTAACTTCATTCCTTCAATAAAGTTACTGTTACAGCTAAGTTACTGTTGTTAACAAAACGTTTCAGTTCAATAGGGAGACAAACCTAGAGTGCTTTGTTTATGTTTTTGTCTCTGCCTTTTTTTCCCTGGTGTAAGTGTAACGTGTTATTCTCATACCTCTGTCCCAATTTCCTTATAAATAACGTACTTATTTTGATGCGTCTGTATAATATTTCGTTCTGTATAATTTACTCGGGCCTCCTGAAGCGGACGCAATTTTCTTGAAACGTGACGACGTTGAACGCTAGTTTAGGATCATGGAGGTGGGTTTAGAATATTTATTATACATCAAGAAAGCACATCCTCTATTTTACACATACAGGAGCTCATAAGTGCAGTTTGTGTTTTGTGTGTACGCCCTGCACAATATTCGAGTACTGCTTCCGAGAGGGAAGACACACCTTCGTCAAGTCCTTGAACAGTGAGCAGAAGTGATGTTCTCCCACCGAAACAAAACAAAGTAAAACAAATGAAACGAGAATAAAAAGTTTCCGAAACTGACTGTTCACCAGAAACGTCTTAAGTACATTGTGTCAATCCGCAAGGAATCTTAGAATTCCATAATAAGTCTGCGAGCTTAAATTTTTTCAATGGGCTTCTTCGAGGGCTCATGTTTGGAGGAGGGTGTTACTGCTGAAGAAAAATCTGGAATTGAAAAACTGACAGATTGGCTTAAAGGGACAGTATCCCGATTATGTGCAGGCGCGAGCGTCATCTGTTTTTTCTTCAAAAGACAATAGAACTTTCACATTGACTCGACAAGATTTCCTTCCGGACCGCACCGCCGACAGAGATTTGTTGTTTATATTCTCAAGTAATATTTTAGACTTTCAAAGAAGTCTTTCGTCTTATATAAAAATTTGGCTCGCGGTTCGAAGACTTATCGCGATTTTATCGCTAGCTGGGCCTCCTCGCGACCCGAAAATCTCGTTCCGCTCGCTTTAAAAACATATTTTCTAATTTGAAACTCGTGTCAGAGGTCAGTTGTTCCAAGTCTAGTAATATCTGCCTGATTTGCTCGCGTTCTAGCCTCAAACGTTTGAAAGACATAAATAAAAATGCAATCTCAACGCTATGAATCATCAGAAGGGTTAGTCAAAAATTATATTATGATTTCATTGCACTAGTTTTTCTAAACATGTAGCGCCTGTTTGTTTGATTTTGTCGGCCGTTAGGGAGATTCGTTTAAAAAAGTTTACTAACGCGTCGTTGCAAAACATTCTGTTGCACGAAGCTCCCCTCCACAAGATCTCCTCAGTCACATCAATGTCTCAATGGTTTCTTTCTTACAGTCTTTATTGTTGCCGTTTCATTTCTGCGTATTCCTTTCACAATTATCTGAGCTTGTATGGAAGCTGGCAGAAGAAATAAGCCTTCAATCGGCATCAAAGTGGTTCCAATCTTTTGGTCCTCCGGCCAACGGCAATAAAAGTAACGCCAAAAAATCCAGATTTTGCTCAAATCGAAACTTAACAGGAACAATATATCATTGATCTGTAATCCTGAGAAGTTTTAGTGTCGTATTGAACCCGGTCAAGCGCGATGCAAACGGATTTTTCAAGGTTCTCTTACTCTCCTCGCATCTTTTGATTTCGCGACATCCTGTCCAAAAATCAAAGATTGGTGCATGCGCAGTAACGGGATACTGTTCCTTTAAGATTGGAGGGAACTTTCTGTCGTTTATTTTTTTATCTTTCCGTATGGTGTTCCTTTTCTTTGAAAATATTTTCATCCAAAATGAAATACCCGGCCCTACGAAGTGGAAGTTGGCAGCACAATTCAAAAAAACAAGTAACAGCCCACTTATACATTAAAGCTCTATGATTCATAGAAATTTGCAATTTTATGTTTGAAAACTAAAACGCTTTGGCTTATTTCATAACGTTCTGGCATGATCTTTCTTTGAATTTATTGGGGCCTTTTTTCAAAAGTAAGCCACAGGGCTTAATTAATTACGGAGGGGCTTGTTATAAAATCTAGGCTCTTTTTCAGTTTTGCATTTCCAGTGTTCATATTCGGGGGAGGAGGTTTGTTGAAAGAGGCTTATTTCAGTTCAGAATTTTACGCGGATAGTCAATCTGGTTTAAGAGTATTTCACAATAGCCGCTTTATTATCATGTAAAGCTACCTACGTGAACCTATATTTTCCACTTAGATATGCAAGGGGTCTTAAGAACGTACGGTATGTGGTATCTGCAAAGATCGCAGGAAATAATATTAGTCTCTTATTTTCCTGAGGAAAGCTTTGTGGTCCCTTCTTTTCTAAAGAAACCACACAATTATACCACTGAAAAGAGTAGCACTACACCATACTCCTGCAACCTGCTGAGATCCTTGATTTATCAAGGTTAGTTTTGCTCAATGCCCTGCAAGAAAACTGAACATGCTACTTAACTTAAATTCATGCCTAGAAAGCCACACTGTAGAAAATTTGCACAGTCAAGCCGGCGGGTGCTACAAAACAACAATACTGAACAGCAGCAATGACTTTATGACCAAATATGTAAGCGTTCCCAACCAACCAGTTTCCGCACAAATTGCAAATTCTTACAACCAATGGAAATAAAAATGTTAGGCTCAACATTGAAGTAGGTAAGGGGGTTACTTCAGGTAATTAAAATCCTACAGGTTGTGGGTCGCTTAATCAATTTTCTTTTGCGAAAACTTTGACTGTACACACAATTTCTCTTTCGGTCTACAGTTACGCTTGAGTAAAGCTTAAGTGCTCTTAATTTCGTCAATGGTAATTATGATACTGTTTCCACTTTAAGAATAGTTATCTTTTTTCACGTTTTTTATAATGCCAAGTGATTATTATGAAGTTCAACTTCTCGTTACTAACTTTGGACACTTAAGCGTACTGATACCACTTTACTAAGGTCCCAAAGATGCATTGTCAAACTTCATAGTAATTTCCGACAGTTGGCAATGCATAATATATTATGATTTAAAATGGTGAACATTGATATTGATACAACTAGGAGCCTACGGCCTACAGGCTCCTGATACAACGCATGTAGTTCTCAGTTTAGCATCTCAATATGGCATTTTCTTCTGTTGTGATATTGCACTTATTATTGATGAAAAAGAAGTTGTTGGCATAGTAACAAGGACAATTACGACAAACAGTCTGATAAAAACAAAAATTAGGTCGAATAATCATTGCGTGGCAAATTTTTGCCCTCTAAAAATAACTTATTCAACCCAATAGTGAGGTGCTAATAAACCTTAGGCGTTACCGGACCTTGAGATCTCGTGTGGTGTCAAAGTTGAAGTATAAAAATAATGTTAAACAACTGCTTATAAGAACGGATAATTTCGGGGTTAAGCAGCCGGCTCACTGAGAAATCAGCCTGAAAATGTTCTAAGAATTTGTTTTAAACTACCATACATTATACATTACTAGGGGTTTTATTAACATACAATATTTCGTTACTTACTCGAAGAAATTAATTTCAAAAAAAATAAATAAATGCTTTTACTAATATATTAAAGTGAACATTTGAGTTACTGTATTTAGTTCATCTTCTTATTTTGGCATCCCTCTTTCTTTTTACGTAACGGAACATGTTTTATTTATCTGCAGGCGGAAATGGTTCTTGATATACATAAGGCGCTTTATTTAACCAACTTTTAGCCTGGTATTCTTAATCAACTTGTTCTCTAGTATACGCGGGTGTTTACGGCTGTAAATTAACAAGAGGTTTATAATGCATGGAGATTTACTATTACGCTACTTTATCCGAAATAAAAGAGAAAAAAAAACCAAGATAGCCTCTTTAAAAGGTCCTTAATGTTCAGTAGGCATAGATAGATAGATAGATAGATAGATAGATAGATAGATAGATAGATAGATAGATAGATAGATAGATAGATAGATAGATAGATAGATAGATACAGATAGAACGTTAGATAGTTATTGTCCGATAGACATCTCGGATTCACTCTGAATCACGTGTAAGGACGGTCAGACTTTATGCCAGGTAAAACTCAATAATCTGAAAAATCAGGGGAGGGCTTTTAATTCAGTCTCATGGGAAATACGGGGTTGAATGCCTGAAACAATGAAATGCTGATTAGAGTGAACATTCACCCAAACAATACTAATAACATGAAATTTTATATTGAGGGTCCTCCTAATTTTAAAATAGGGAAGAAGTAAAAAATAATAATAATAATAATAATAATAATAATAATAATAACAAGTTTCATCTTCCAGAAAAGTTCACAAAAGTTTTTTTATCAGTAACCGAACGAAATGAGAAGTTTTCTAGCCAAAAAGACACCAAACCGCAGTCCATGTCAACGCTTCAAATCACTGCTGTTCGTGTTTTAAACATTACTTAAAGTGCAGTTGTTTGACCAATAGAGATGATTTTTTTTATGCTTTGTATGCTAAG